TATTGTTTTACATACTACATAATTCAATTTAAATTGTAATTTAAAATTTGCTTACCATGCTGGGATTCGAACCTGAGACCTCTGCTTCTTGAGTCGTTCACCTTACCCACTGCGCCACTGTCACTTTCACCGAGAGACAGTTTTATATTGCATACATATATTTATGTACGTTATACATGAAATTATACATGACATTATACAAATAATATAGTATATTCCTGTATAAAAACAATTATTAAAAAGAAAAGAACAGATCTTTTTAAAAAGTATGTTTGAAAAGTACATAAAAAGTATAATTAAAAAATATTTACTTGTTTTAAAAGTAAGTAAAATACAAAAAAATTACTTTATAAATTTAAATAAATTGTTTTCTGATAATAAAAACTTTAATTTGAAACACGAGAAAGATTTTAATATCAGAAAATAATTTATTTAGATTTATAAAATGATTTACTTATATTTCATTACTTTTAAATTTATTTATATTTCATTTACTCTTAAAACAAGCAAATATTTATTTAAACGCAGTTTTTACATTTAAAAAAACTAATTTTCTTCTTGTAAAGAAATTATTTGCTTATTCTTTTATATAGATATTTTAAAAAAGTCAAAGAAATCTTTTTTATCTAGAAATTCATAAATTTATAGCATCTTATAAATAAAAAATATTAATTTATATTATATTTATTACATATTTCCTAAAATGTAACAAATATTTTTTTTAAGTTAAGAAATTATATTTAACAAAATATATTTCTTTAATTTAAAGCACTTTCAGAGTATATCTTACCAATTTAAATTCCGATTTTCTTATTCTTTCATTAATTTAATAGTTATAAATAATTATGTTTACTTTTTTCATATATAATATTCATATATAATTACAAAATATTACTACAAATGCTTATTTTTTGTTTATTATAAATATTATACAAAATATTTAGTCTATATTTTAATAATATTTTAAATAAAGATTTTGATATTTTTTTCTTTTATGTGTACCTAAAATATTTATAAAATTTATATTATGTTTAAAAAATAATTCGACATTAATCTTTATGAATCTTTATCATAAATATTGTGTGCTATCTAGCATACGTATAGTGTTCTATTGAAAGAATCTGAAAAACGTCGTTTAGATGTTATATAGACGTATAAAAGACGATTTTTAATCTGAATGATGCTTTTTGGACGTTTTCTCAACGTTTTTCTGATTCTTTGACTAACTGGGATACGTATATTGTATGCATACCAGGTATGTAAATATGAAACCGAAATTTTTGTATAGAAAATACACGTTTATTGTATGAAAATGATAAAAAATATTTTATTCGAAGTATTACCCATCGCTAGCTATACATTTTTCTCACTTGTCTGACAATTTGTGGATGCACGCCAAAAAAACTGTTGCTCTTTTGAGGTAAACCAGTCATCGAGTCATTTTCGTACATTTTCGTAAGAAGTGAAGCGCTGCTTAGCAAGTGCGTATCCCATCGATGTAAATAAATAGTAATCGGACGGAACCAAGTCTGGTGAGTAAGCCGCAGGCGAAAGTATTTCCCAACTAAACGCCTCAATCGTTTCCTTGACCAGTTTTGCTGTGTGTGATGTTGCATTATCATGAAGCAAAATCACTTTGTGTTGCCTTTTTTTATATTCTGGTCGTTTTTCACGCAAAGCTTGATTCAAATCGATCATTTGTTGTCGGTAGCGTTCAGAATTAACGGTTTGGCCAGGTTTTAGCAGCTCATAATAGATCACACCCTTCTGATTCCACCAAACACAGAGCATTGTCTTCCGTTCATAGCGATTTGCAGTCGATGTCGATGGTTCGCCTGGAGTTACCTATGATCTTTTACGCTTAGGATTCTCAAAATATATCCACTTTTCATCGCTAGTCACAATTCGATGGAGAAATGACTTTCTTTTGTACCTGGCGAGCAGCATTTTGCAAGTGGTTTTTCGGTTTTCCTGCTGTCTTTCATTCAGTTCATGTGGAACTCATTTTCCCATTTTCTGGATCTTTCCCATGGCTTTTAAACGTATGGAGACGGCTTCTCGTGTCACATTTAATTGATCCGCGAGTTGTTGTTGCGTTTGAGTGTCATCCTCATCCAACAATGCTTGCAATTTGCTGTCTTCAAACTTTTTTGGTGGTCTTCCACGTTCTTCGTTTCTCACGTCAAAATCGCCACTTTTGAATTTTTTAAACCACTCAAAGCACTGTGATTTACCAAGAGTATACTCACCGTAAGCTTTGACAAGCATTCGATGCGATTCTGCAGCAGTTTTCTTCAAATGGTAACAGAAAATCAATGCTGTCCGCAAATTGTAGTTTCCAGGCACAAAATTCGACATGTTCAACGCTATTACAAACTATG